AGAGAGAGAGAGAGAGAGAGAGAGAGAGAGAGAAAGAGAGAGAGAGAGAAAGAGGAGGGAATGGGGAACAATGTCACACCTTTTCAATGAAACTGAAACCAAAGACACAAACAATGACAGCTTGAACCCAGAATGGCCCCCTGATTGTACTGAGAAAAGCAAAGCCAAGTCCAGATTTTCTAACGTGGCATCAGATCACAGTCACCATCCCACGAATTTCCCCACCTGCCCTTCCCACATTCTCATTGCCATGCTGCACCTCTACATGTAAATAAACTTGATACAGCCAGGGCCTGCTTCCAGGTCAAAACCCAACAGATAGAGTTTCTGGGTGACAGCAGGCCACCAGTACCTTTGTGTCACTCAGAAGAAACTTGCCTCAGGTCCCTGCTACAAGTCATTCTCTTTACACAACTCCATTTTTTCACAACAATGTGTAGACCAATAAAATGAGGGTTTATTCAGTTCAGGCATTTGAGGAGACAATAATGCAGCCAAGATAGAGTGTCAGGGTGAGGAGGACAAAGAAGAGGAAAAGAGGTGCAGGTGGACAAAGAAAATAAAGATTGAGAAGCAGAAGGTGCAGGTTATTCTGCCTCCTGTGGCAGGCTCCTTTCTACCTCATCAGCAATATGATGTCCTCGAGAAAGCACAGGCCCCGGACTCAGAAAGCCAGCCAAGAGGTAGAAGTCATTCTGCCATCGCTCCTTACATATGCTTCATGGTCAACCCACTTGAACTCTTTGAATCCTGGTCCCCACATTGGAAAATGGAGGCAAATCCTAATATCTGGACGCTCCCATTTAAAAAGATATTTGTGAGAAGCATGTACAAATAGTTTATAATTTAAGTGCACTTCACTTGTTGGCTACTGCTCTTTCACTTAAACTGCTCAGGAAGAAAGCCCAGTTGATGCAGGACTTTCCTCAGAGATGATTTTACCTCCTTGTTCCTGAGGCTGTAGATCAAGGGGTTCAGCATGGGGGTGACCAGGTTATTCAGGACCTGAACCATTGCATCCAGCCAGGGACTTGGCGTTGGCCTTAAGTAGATGAAGATCACTGGCATGTAGAAAAGTAGGATGGCAGTGAGGTGGGCGCTGCAGGTGGAGAAGGCATGGCGTTGGCCCTGGGCGGAGCGGATCTGCAGGATGGAGTAGACAATGCGGCTGTAGGAGGCGAGGATGAGAAGAAAGCAGCTGAGGGGCATGAGGCCCACACTGATGAACCCCACCATCTCCAGGGCTGCGGTGTCCGCACAAGCCAGCTTCAGCATCACGGGGATGTCACAGAAGAAGTAGTCCACCTCATTGGGGCCACAATAGGGTAACTGGAAGGTGAGAGTGCTTAGTAAGGTGGCATGAACACAGCCAAAAAACGAGGTCCCTGAGGCCAGGATGGCACACACCCTGGGGCTCATGATCACCTGGTAGCGTAGAGGGTGACAGATGGCCACAAAGCGGTCATAGGCCATCACCGTGTACAGGAAGCACTCGGTGCCACCTAGGAAATGGTAAAAGAAGAGCTGGGACACGCAGCCAGCATAGGAGATGGCTCGGCTGTACCCTGAGAGGTAGAAGAGCATCTTGGGGGAGCTCACAGAAGGGAAAAATATGTCGCACACAGACAGCTCACACAAGAAGAAATACATGGGAGTGTGCAGTCGAGCGGAGGAGGCAATGGCCAGCAGGATGAGCAGGTTTCCCACAAGAGTGAAGACGTAGAAGGTCAAGAACAGGACAAAGAGCACGGTCTCCAGATCCTGTGTGTGTGGGATGCCCAGCAGGATGAACTCGGTCACCACTGAGGCATTCCTCATGGCTGGGCTCATGTCAGACCTTGGAAACGGATTTGAGACACCAATGTGTGAACACCAATAGCATATTATCAAGCTGTTTGCTGAGGAGAGCTTTGGCTGTGTTTGTAACAAGCAGAACCCAGCCCCCTTAGGAATGGCAAAGTCTGTATAAAACTTTGAGTTAGTAAGAGATGCTTATGTTAGAGCCTCAGTCTATCCAACCCCTGGAAGGAATGTGTATGTGGAGGCAGGTATTGTGTTCGATGACAAGGCCAGGAGTTTAAAGTATATTCAAAACATTCTCCTGTGAAATGGGAAACCTTTTTATAGTTTTTTAATTCACAGATTTACTCTCTTTAGGCATATTTCTATTTGGAACTGTCACAATATATCTGAACAACAAACTCGTACTCGTTAATACCTGCTGAAAAATATCAGGAAAAGAACTGGCATTAGAAATCAGAACACTTCATTTAAACCCTGGTTTCACTGTACTCATTTACGTAATTTATACAACATCTTTCATTGGCATAGTTGCATTTCCTATGAAATAAAAATCATAATTATCATAACTAGAACATGAACAACAAAAATACCCTTGTACAATAGTAAAGTTTCTGAAATGTCTATAAGATATTTGGCGAAAAAAATCCGAATGAAAAGATTTTCTTTCTTTTATGTATCTTAAAAGTTATTCTTCTACGTGCTTTTCTTTAATGTTGGTAGTGTGTAATGATTTTTAAAAAATGCCTTATTAAACAACACTATTGAATAGACTTGGAACATATCATTTCAAGATTATATCGTCCCAGAAGTGGGAGGTTTAATATTTCCAAATTTATCAGGAGATGCTGCTCTGGTTTTTCTGGTCCTTTGAACATTTTCTAAGAGCATTTGAGGCAAATCTGAAATGCTATGTAAAAGAAATAGTAGCAGCAAGAAAGGCACCGCATTCATGTTCCTGTGATGAAGAAAGAAATACTGGGACCCATAGGCAGAAGGTCAAAGAACAGCTCTACTGAGGAAGATGCAGCAAGTCAAGAGCAGGACATAGGGTCTGGCAGCACAGAGATCTCCTCCTCTGATAACACATACTAATACCAATACTAATAACAACACTAATACTAATGCTACATAGGTGCATGCATTGATATGTATGTCATTCAATGACTATTTGCTGTGTACCATGGATTGGGCTTAACACTTTAAAAAATATGACACGTTTTTAAAAATTAATTTGTAAGAAGAAACTATTACTACTATTGCCATCTACCAATCAGGAAACAAAAATTAGAAAAAGTAAGCAAGTTACCTACATTTACAAAGCAAGCCCATGACAGCTATTTCATGCTATTGTCCACGCCCTTCACCACCAGGAACATTGTCTTCTGTTTGCCTGTCTTTTTAAGGACAGCCTGTCCCATCGTTAGGCAAGGATACCCTTCTAGATGGGTTGGCATCGTCATTTCATACTAAGGTAGGAAAGGGATCCCATTTGACTTCTTCCTGGTCATTTACATGCTTGACTTAGAGCACATCCAGTTAACATCTAATTTAGTTTTTAAAATCACACAACGGGCTTATGTCTTACCTTTGACGCTATACCTGAATATCAACCCCAATTTGGGAACTTGGAAGTTATAGAGACACATTCACCATGGGATTCCAATCATAACCTGTGGCAGGTGCCACTTAAACACATATCTAAATAGAATGGCCATGCCAAAATGAGTAACTCACCTATTGCCCTAGAACTGAGCAAAAGCCAAGATGGCAAAGAGAGAAACAGTGGCATTATGGAGGGGAAATGCTGCTGACCACGGCCTTCTTGCTACTAATTCTAGGCACACATGAGCACTCTCTCTGAGCCATGCAAATTTCTGTTCAATGTGGAGCATCTGTCCCAGGTCAGGGAAGGCTGTCAGAGGTCTTTGATCCTTGCCTATGATCAGACACCTTGATACTGGATGATTCTATAAGAAGGCCATTCTAGGAAAAAGAAGTTGGCAAGGACCAGGAAGGACCCTGTGTGTGGGGCTGGAGATTATATATATATGTCTAAGCAACTGTTATGACCGAACAACTGGAATGACCAGAACCACTGGCCGACCTGCCCATAGCTATGATGTGCACTGACCCAGACTTTGTTGCTGGGCCCTGACAGTCCTGAATCTGGTTCACCTGCACCCTGGACCCAGATAGGAGGGAGGAGGGAGCCCAGTTACTCATGGAACTGGCCGTTGGTTAGCTTGTTGCTGGGGCCATCCTTCCGCGGTCCCACCCCAAAGCTGCCAGCTCCTCTCCCCATCGGCCCCAATCACCAGCCAGGCTGAGGGACCCCACCTGTACACGAATTCGTGTACTGGGCCTCTAGTAGTCATATAAGAGCAGCAGTGTGGGCATTCTCACAGTCTACCTGAGAGCACAGCCAAATTTTCCAAAGTGTGGTTATGAGACCTGTCAGTTACTGCTTCTCGGCAGAGCACAGAGTGCTCCAGCTAAAGGCGTGTCAGGTCTCCTACTTATAAAGAATCGAGTCTCCTAGGGTTTGCACCATCGAGACCTGCCCATACCCACTCTCCCTGGATTGCTTCCTTGGAAGTTTTTTTCAAACCCCCTTAAGCCCTACTGTGGACTCACTGGTGGCTCTGAGGGAGCAATTAGTTTGTGAAACTAATGCATCATCTAGTTATAAGATAATAGTAATGAGATCATCAGAAAGGGTGCAGTCAAGTGGGAACTATCTATATCTCTCCATAGTCAGCTAGCCTGAGGGTCAAACCCATCCATAGATAAATCAGCAGCCATCAAGACTTACTAACAACAAGAGTACTCACATAACCCACACAAGGGACATCTCTGGAGCACCTGGTTCACATGCAAAGACTGTATCACTGAGTTTCACAAGACATCTACTACATAAGGACATTTTACCTAGAACAGAAGCCAAAATGGGGATATATTTAGAGATCTCCAAATAAAGACCTTCCCAGATTAAAAAAAAAAAAAAAGACTAAAGGAGTTTATTATCACCAAACTAGCTCTGCAAGAAATGCTAAAGGGACTGTTGTGAGAAGAATAGAGAGAAAGAGAGGAACACAGGCATAAAGAACAAAAAAATCAATTAAAATATATTTTAAAAAAAGTTAGGAGGGAAAACAAGGGATGAGAAAACCCATGCAGATCCAATGAATAAATCTAAATCAGATACAACCAAGTGTCATTTTAATATTGATACAGCAGTATGTTAGGGAACAACACATCCAATAGGGCCCCTTCCACTAGGATAGAGTGTGTGGGACTGCAAGGTCAGGCATGATCACTGGGAGCTCCTTTCTTTCTCTTGGGGTAAGTGGCCCAGGTTTTGGGTCTCAGGCAAAGCTGCCTTTAGCCCTGATTTTATAAAAGTATACTAGATCAGAGCCCGATTCAGAGGCCTCACGGGTCAGGCCAGGACGAAGGATCCCATGATGGCCCTCTTACTAAGATGCATCCTGATTAAGAAGAACATCTGTCTCCCACAGCTACCACTCAACCCTTGGGCAGTATGAGGGGAAGCGGGAAGTATAAGCTAACAAGACCCAGGCAGAATCGACCAAGAAGGTCCCCAACAGTGCCAACCCTCACAGTGGACCCTTGAACCTCATGTGGAGGTTATGTGGATCCCAATGTTGGCTGTCAACTGCCCTTCCACCTCTTTATTCTACCTAAGAATAGAAAACTGGATAGCTCACCAGTCTTGTCCTCATAAGTCCCCAAAAGCAATACTGAATAGACAAAAAATAATTCGGAGAACTTTCCAATCCAGGCAATCCCTAACATCAACCCAGCAACCTGTAGCCTAGAGTCCACACCCCTCGTTTCTCATGTCGTCACTCTGAAAAACCCGGGAGGGACCTCACTGCCTCTGAACTCCTTCCAGAAAGAGAACAGGTCTGGGGCCATGATGCCTGGCTGAGGGCACATGCTGGGGAAAGGATGTCATATCAGGAGGGAACCTGGAACCTGGAGGAAAGGTGGGGCGGGCATTGTTGACTTTTATTACAGGAAACTGACAGGAGAGGCATACAAGACAAGATCACGTTCTGGAAGACTGAGGGTTCAGGCGGGGACAGGAGCACGAAGGAGGCACGTGTGTTTCTGGCCGGGATCCTCAGGGGGCAAAGACGGCAGGATCCACCGATGACTTCAGAAAGCCCACAGCAGCTTTCACCAGCCCATCCGTGGCGGAGCCTGTGAGGAGAAAACAAAAATGAGGGCTGAGGGACAACAGTGAGAGGAAGTGCCTTTCTCCCAGTCTCCCCTCAACCTCCTTGTCATCTCCCCTGAGTCCTGCTTGTATCTTTGCTTAGCACCCCCCCACTTTTATCATCACATCCCCCAGATTCCCTTTCCTCCCCTCTGGCCCCAGAAATATCCAGCAGCAGTGAGATAATAAACACTCAAAAAAGAAATGCCCCAAGTTCAGTCTCACTCTCAGTATAATACTGACAGAGTGTGAAGAATAAATGCCACTTCATGTCCCTTTTCCAACTCACACTCCCCATCGATGCTCCTTTTCGCTCTTGACACACCTCCCACTGCCCCCACTGGAGGACAGCACCCTCATCCTGCCCAGGAGAGAACTAGCAGGGAGACCTGAAAAGGTCTGGACCAGGACTGCCTGGGGGCTCAATGTCCAGGAAGATGTGGAGCTTCCTAAGGAGGGAAGGAGCTGAGGGCTCAGGCTGGTGCTCCTACCTGCATGGCTGTGAATCCAGGCCACAGCTTTCCGTTCCAGAAGCTCCCACTCGCACTTCATGTCCTTATACTTGTCATGCAGCCAGATCACCGCCAGGACAGTGGCCCAGCCTGAGGAATCCACACTCTACAACAGAGACACGCCCCTGAAGCCTGCACTCCCTCCTCACCTACCAGGTCCCTCCCCCCACTCATTGCTACTAAATGAGGTTACCTGGTCTCCCTTAACCTGCTCAATGACTGGTAAGGCACAATGCCAGGCCCTAAACCTCAGGGCAACCATCCAGTGAGTCTTAAGGTAGAAACGTCTTGAATTTTTAATGCAGTGTAACCACCAGGACATTGTTTGAAACTCCTAAGATACCCCCAAGGAGGATTAGCCAGCTGTGACAAAACAACAAAACACACACGCATGGTGGCTTTCTATTTTTTCCAAAGCATCTTCATGTATGTGTTTTTATTTGAACCCTCACCAACACAAAAAAATATTGAGGAATTACCAATAGCCACATGGTTTAAGAGAGAAAACTGATGCATATAAAAGTGAAATGATTTGCCCAAAGTGAGTCTTCTAGCACATGACGGAGCTGGGACTGGAGACCAAACATTCTGGTTCAAGGTCACAGTGCTCATCCAGCTCAACAGAAAGTCGTCCACAGACCAGAAAAAGGTGAGTTTTCACCCACGGCTCTTGATTCCAGTTTTTGGAGACAATAGATTAAAATAAATTCTTTTATATCGTGAGGGTTAAAATTTGGAAACAGCTATCATGGCCTCTGAGTAGACTTGTTTCAGATCAAAATCCCCAGTTCCTTTCCTTCTCCCTTAAGAGGACTTCTGTCAAAGCAGTAAGAATCCCGTGTTTGTTCTCCTAGTCTAGAAACAAACACAGTGATTTCTAAAATACATCTCTTTAGATGGTCACATCTGGAGGTAAATGTACTTATAAAATTCCATGACTCCAGCCCCAGATTATATAATACATAAAGTTTTCCTGACAATCCTTTTGCCTTCAACTAATCATGTTTCAAATACAGTGGGGCCTTGACTTACAAGTGTCCCGACTAACGAGTTTTTCGAGATACGAGGCGATTTTTGCTTTGAGTTGCGAGCTAAAATTCGGGTCACGAGCCAGCTTCAGATACCCCACCGCTGGTTGGCGCAACGAACGTCACAGTGAACGCCACAACATCAGCCCAGCAACACGTGTCTCACTCGTTCACTTTTTGATTTGACATACAAGTAATTTGAGTTACGAGCTCCGTCACGGAACGAATTAAACTTGTAAGTCAAGGCCCCACTGTATGCTGATTGATAATAAGTTGATGGTCCTCTCAAATCTCTAATTTTCATGTGCAACCACTAAGTCATTTGGCCTCTATTCTCTACCTGTATAGTTGAGAATTTAGAATGAGAAAGAGTGTTGATGCCAGCTTTTTTTTTTTTTTTTAATTCAAGTCATTGTTCAGGTCTTTTGGGATCCTGATTTTCTTGTCTACTACGCCATCTCCCAGTTTTGTCACATACAAATAGGATAGTATTGGTCTACATCTTCACGTAAATACTCATTGAAAATATGGACCCCCAGAGAATCAGAGACTGGGGGATCTGCATATCTGTTTCATTTGAATAAATTCATTATTCAGTACCATGGGTTTCCAAGTAGTTTGTAATCAGTCCATATACTAATCATTAAGAAAAGTTCAAATTCCTTAATGAAATTCAGATACACCAGGTCTTCATTCCCTTGATTTATTGACTAAGTTACCATGTCCAAGAAGAAAGTGTTAGTCTAACATGTCTTGTTCTCAATGAAACCGAGCTAGATCTTTATGATCCTTAATATCTTCTTTGAATTGTCTATAAATTCATTACATTTGTTAATCAAATTAATAAATTATTTATAAATTACTCTTGTAATTATCTGTTTTAAAAGTCTTTTCAATAGAAATATAGTTTTAAGTATCCTCACAGCCACATGTAAAAATGTAAAAATAAAAAAGTTCAATTATGTTATTAATAATATATTTTATTTAACCTAGTACGTTTAAAAGTATTTTTAAAATATAGTTTTATTAAAAAATATATATTTTTTTGTTGATTTCAGAGAGGAAGGGAGAGGGAGAGACAGAAACATCAATGATGATTGGCTGCCTCCTGCACGCCCCCTACTGGGGATCTAGCCTGCAACCAGGGCATGTGACCTAACTGGGAATCAAACCATGACCTTCCGGTTCATAGGTACACACTCAACCACTGAGCAACATCAACCAGTCTAATCTAATATATTTAAAATAACATGTTAACATATAACCAATATAAAAATAATAAATAATATTTTACATTCCTTTTTATATGAAGTTTTTAAAATCAGAATGCATTTCACAATTATAGCACATCTCATCTCAAGGCAATTAAAAATGTAGTTCCTCATTTGCATTGGCCATATTTGAAGAGCTTGATAGTTACATCTAACTAG